CAAAGCAAAGCTTACCAGATGGTGAGATTGGAAGGGCAGAGATTGACGGGAGCTGATTTCCACATTCAGGTTTGGAGATTCCAGACCAAACCAAACCAAACCAAACCAAACCAAACCAAACCAAACCAAACCAAACCAAACCAAACCAAACCTACAGAGGCTGATTAGAACGTTGCTCCTCTCAGATGATACATAGGATTAAACTTGGATTATTTTTTTCCAAAGTGAACAAGAAGGACATATTAGACTTCTCATTGATGTGATTTATCAGTTCCAACTCAGCCATTTTTCTTTCTTGGAAATGATGTTCAAAAGTCATTCCACGGAGGGGGAAGGGGAAGGGAAACCACCGTCCCCCCCCAGAAAGAAATTAAGGCAACAACTGCAAAATATTCCCTCTGTGAGAAAAGTAAGTATAAATTAATGGAAAGAAAAGTCTCTGTGTTTTCAAAATGAACAGGTTACCTTGCTGGAGAAGGGCTTCAGCTGCAAATTCACCGGAACCCGCATTAACATATTCCTCACTGGGATGTTTCCTATTATAATGTCTTTTGAGAGAACCAGATATGTTGCAGGAATAATGGCAGTGTGCGCAACGGAAAGGCTAGAGAAAGGAAAAGGAAATGAATTAGTTATAGCCGTATTCTGTCTTCAGACGCTGCACATCTTATTGCTAGCTTACTATAATAAGATTTAGATCTGTCTTGCTACGTATGTTAACAAGTAAACTTGTCCCATTATGTCACTGTCTGAAAGCAAAATGTATCATGGCAACACATCTTCAATTTTATTACCTTTTTACGCCCTGAAAAGTTTTACAACTTGGTGGAAAACTATCGGCACTGAACAATTCAATCAACTATTTATTTGCCATGACTGCTAAATTCTGCTCTCTTTCATAAAGAGATAGATTGCCAGAGCAAATGAAATTACAAAAACAACTGCAACCTTTTTATTGACTAAATAAATTACTGTGCAATAAAATTAATGCCCTGTGCTAATTTAGTGGCATACTTCCAAATGCAAACAGACAGGAAAAAGAGTTTTTAACCCCATTCAAAAAAGACTTCGAAAAAGAGGCTAATGCGGGGAGGAGTGCACAGAGACACAGAAATTGTCCACAAAAACGGCATTTATTTCAAGAAGTCTTAGGCTGCCAAACTGAACTGTCACAAAGCCCAGAAGAGACCAATAAATAAGAAAGCTCACGTTTCTACTCTCAGATAATGTATGCCAAGAGTTTAATGCAGTTTGTATCCAAGATTTATACTTAGAAGGCCCAGACCTATTTAAGCCTGTTCAATATGTGAAGATGAGTGTCGTAATAACAAATTAAAGAGTTAATATAGATTGTTATTGCTGCTGTTATTACTACTAGTATTGTTATCCTCCTGCTTTTCTCCCAGAGCGTTTATTCCCAGAACAACACCTCTGTAGATAGGCTGGCCCGAAAGAGAGTGGCCCATAAATTACAGAACATCCTGTACATACATACATACATTTTTTAAAAAAACCCTAAATAAAACTTATCGTAAAATACAGACATTCATCAGCGAATAACTACCATCCAAAAATAATCTGAGCACAGATTATCATCAAAATGGAGAGACATAAAGCATCATGCAGTAATGAATGTCTGATGGAACAGAAATGTTTTTGTTGCCTGTCTAAAACAAGTACAGTCGCTCTGCAGTGAGATGGGCCGTGACAAATTTGAAATATAAATAAGTAAAACAGGAACCCAAACACCCTCTCCAGCAAGGAGTTTCTTCACTTGGTTCTTGCTATTGAAAAAAGTCTATCTCATCAAACTAATTGTGGACTCTAATGACCATTATCATAAATAACAGACAGGTTCATATGGCCTTTACACAACCCCCAAAGAATCAGGTCTTCTGCATAGCAAAATGGCCACTTTGAATTGTGGAAGTCAGTAAAAATCTGAGTACAGGGTAATCTGGCCTCCATCATGCACCCCTGACCAAAGTTTAATCATTATCTAGCTGAAATTCTGGCACTCTCTCCAATGTCTGCCCCATGTAGATAATCTTACTGATTACAGATGTTCAGTCATAAATCACAGTGTCAAAAGTCACCTTAGAAAGGAAACAAGGTACAGCAGAAATCCCCGAAGGGAAGAAAGACGTTGGCCCAAAGGTGGATGAGTTTGTAGACCTCTATCCAAGTTATATAAACAGACTATGTTGCATAGACCACACTCATCCATACGCCCAGATAAAATCAGCCCAGTAAAGAAAGTTTCCAGAGATATATGTATAAGAGATGATAGTTAAATCTCTATAATGGTGCCATCCAAATGGGTTAGCATTAGAACTTCAGGCTAGTAGGGAACTGAGATACACCTTAGGGCACTGCTCAGATTGTTTCAGAGATTCTATGCCAACACTGCAGCCCAGTTCCATCTAACCCATCTTTGGTGACTTATCTGTTCTCAAGATGTCATACATTATACAGTACTCTCATAGTAGTTTCCACTTGGAGATGTGTCCCTTCTGAATAGGGAGGGTTCATTAAGTTATGATAACTCACAGCACTGGAACTGTGTCCTCCATCTAAGCTTTTAATTTCATTAAAAATTAATATATTTAATTTCATATATTTGTATTATTTAAAAAGATGGGAAAATAATTGAAGCACTCTATATTGTATTAGAAAGTGCTTCTTTTACCTGTTCAGAATTCATATGAAGAGATAAAACAGATGAAAGATAGGTTTATTTCTTAAGATACATTACTTAGACTCTTAGGAGTCAAAGGGTTTTAGAACAATTTCAGAGTTAATTGTTTAATATCTTGTGTGTCAGCTAATGATTCTGAACTGCTATTAGAAACAATGACCAGTCTTCAACTAGAGCAACAAATAAGTGTTTACAATTTGGGTAACCTAATTGTAATTAAATGTTCCAGTAATTAGCATTTGAGAAGCTGAATTCAAGTGAAACTTTGGCTATGTGCACCTGTCCTTTATCCAAATCTCTGAAGAACACAAAAATTGCTTGAAGTTTTGGAGTTGTCTTAGAGGCAAACTAGCCAGGAGAGTATAAGCCACATTTTTATGTTCACCTCTTTGCTTCATTAAATGATGAGGTATCGTCTTATAGAGGGAATAGGGAATGACCTTGAAGGACAGGAGGAAGAGCTGCTACCAAGGCAATGATCAGACAAGGGCGAGTTAAACCCATTCCAAGAAACTAAATTGACAAAATGTCTCAGACAGGTCCCTCTCTAACTCACATAAAGATAAAATGAAGGGGGAGGGAAGCACATTCAGACTTGCAAGGTTCTGTTACTATAGTTATTCTAATAAAAGTAGTTTTTGACCTACAGGTACTCCTTGTTTAGTAACTGCCTCAGACAGTGACTATTTGCAGTTACGATGGTGATGAAAAAGTAACTTTGCAACCAATGCATGCGTGTACAATTTTTGCAGCATCTCCCTCTCTCTGAGTCAGATGTTTGCCATTACGGTCAATTAATACATATTGTCCTGTGAGTAGAATCCTGCAGCAACCCACACAAGAGGGAACAAGGGAGTGATCTCTTACCCCCAGCCAACACCAACTGGAACTGGCCCCAGAGAAAGGAAGAGAACCACTGTAAAACCGTGCCCCAAATCCTCAACCCACAGAACTGGCTCAGAAGGATACCATGATCGAAGGTATCAAAAACTGCTGAGAGATCTAGGAGCACAAGAATGGATGCAGAAGGATAGCCTGTAAAGCCCCACAAAATAAAAATTCTACAGATTTGGCTTCTTCTTGGGGGGGGGGGGCATAAAAGAGCTTGGGGCAAGTTGTTTTGCATCCCTGACTTACATAAATGTTAAGCTTCTTGTTTGCCTTGAGTTGAGACCAACTTTTACATAACATTGTGCTAATGATGGAGATCATCTCTTCTCTTGTTTTTCTGCACATTTCCAGCCTTCCCTGATGTAAGAGAGGATTCTCACATTGATAAACTACTGTACAAACAAAACCTAAGGGGACCAAATCTGCAGAAGGAAGAAAGCTAAAATGTAATGGCTTTGAAATACATATAAATAGGGTCCACATTTGAAAGCAGTTTATTCACTCGAGTTCTTGTGCTATCACTTCACCCTTTTTCATAATAAGACTTACTAAATCCTAGGCCAGAGACAATTGTTTCTCTTCTGTTCTTCTTCAGTCAGGATTGTTGCTTGAGACTGTGGCCTGCTAACCACACTCATGGCTCTCTTGCTATGTTCCTCACATCTCCTGGTGATTTTTCCAACTATCTTAATAGAAACCGTGTGGCGTCATGGTTAAAACATTTAACTGGCACTAGGGTGCCCAGTTAAAGTCCACCCTCAGCAACAGAAATCCACTGGGTGACTCTGGACCAGTCACTCTCTCTCAGGCCACCCACTGTGAGGGAAAATGGAAGGGGGACTATCTTGAATCCCTGAACAAAATGTGAGATGTAAATCCCGTGGCAATACTTTACTGTGAACAAAATATATAATCTGAAATAAACTTACTCCACTTAGCCTGTTGCCCATTCTCTCCATTCATCAAATGTCATACAACCCTTATACTATTAACCATTATGGCATCTCTCAGCCAAGGTTCACAACAACACTAGTCTGTTTAAATTATTCCAGATTCCTTTGGGTGACTTTCAGTTTTTAAAGTCTGAGGGTAAGGACAGTGTTTGTTAAGAGTTCAGCCAACCAACTATTTGCTTCCCTCTCTCCTGACTATACCTAGTAGGAAAACAATGGTCAGTTGGATCTAGGTATACATCTTTGCTTATGAAAAAGACTGGTCTCAACCTTATGAAAGGAGACCTTCATGAGACCACTCCTAAAAAAAAGCCATCACTAGACCCAACTTGTACAGGCCTCTGGACAACACCCTCTTCCTCAACAAGCTGCCGCAAAGAGTGGGGGCTGATTCAATCCAAACAATATTGGATGAAATTGATTTTCTGCATCCATTTTAATTGTGGGTATGACACTGAACCTCCCCTGGTTACACTAAGGGATGATTTTTGCTAGGACAGTAATACAGGGAACATGTTGATTGCTCTAGACTTCTTGGCAACCTTTGAGGACATCAAAACATGGTATCCCTATGGACAGACTGTCCAGGTTAGGGGTCGGGGAACAGCATTCTGGTGTGCTGAATGGCCACCTGAGCACAGGACCTTTCAGTGACAGCCCCCGATCCTAGAGTATGCTTCATAGTGCGGTGTACCTAGTATTGAACTTTACTGTCTTTTCAGCATTATGCAAAGCTGTTTTTATTCTCTCAAGCATTTTAATCAATTAATGTTTAATGCTTAATCTATTAATGTTTAACCCAGTAAACATATTTGCTGCTTAGAAATGTATTAATTGTGCCAGTTGTTGCTTTTATCATTTCATGGTTATGTACTTTAATTATTGTGTTTTAATGTTTTATTTAATTTTTCATAATTTTATTTGGTGATATAAACATGTTGCAACTGACTGTGGGAAACTCTGGGTTTGAAGGAAAGCATATACAATTTTAAAATAAATAAGTAATAAGTAATAGATTATAAATGAAGCCCTGCTCAAATGCTGAAATTAGCAGCCAAGGCCCTACCTTTTCCCACTTCTAAAAAATTTAAGTGATGACTGCAAACAAGGATCTTTTTGGTAGTAGTAGCCACTTCACACTCTACTGTTAATTACTTATTTATCTCACCAGGAATATAGCTGCAATTCTGAATGTGATTTAGTGATGCTTCTGATATATATTTATAAATATAAATATACATATAATATTTATATTATGTGTGTGTGTATGTGTGGGCTTCCTTGATGCAGTTTAATTTCTCCTTGTATAGCTCTGTAACTTTGTAAAGGCACTTCAATGTATCACAGATCAGCTTGTGAGACAGACGTTCTTTGATCTATTTACCGTATAAAATAACTGCCTTGTTACTATCTGTTCCCTTCATAAAAATAGTTTTCATGATGTTCTTCCTCTCCACCATTTATTGGTGAAGGGCCAAAGCTCCGCAGATTTGCACCTACCAGAATGAGCAAGCAGTTCAATTTCTAACATTCCCAGTTAGAAGGTAAATGTGAAGATCTCAACTGAAACTTTGGAGAGTTGATGTCAGTCAAACAAGAAAGATGATTAAACAAAAACAAAAAAAACCCCAGAACTCTTAATTCCATTAGATAGTAAAGTTGGCTAACAACAATACTACAGTAGGCAGACAGATGATCACAATTGGCATAAGGGAGCTTCCTAATTCCATCCATCCCTTATTAAAGACCATTTCTTGGATTCTGAATTCTCAAAGTATTTCAGACTCTCCTGTATCATAGCCTGGATCCAGCTTTGCCTTTTTAAAATATAGAGCATAATGTGAAAACTGTATCAGAATGAAAGAATGCAAATTCCTGCTTCAACCCATCAGATTGGCTAAATGTTAAAACTATTCTGCTTCAGTTCCGGAATTGATTTAGAGGCTGATAAATTGTAATCCTGAAACTTTGGGCTGTCAGGCGTGGCAGCAGCCAATGAATCACACTTACAAAACAAGACCGGTGGCAGGCTTCTTACCTTGAAGGAAGCGTGTTGTTCCATGTGCCTTAGAAGTTGTGGCTTCTGGGCAGCAGTGTAATCACACACAGTGCACTTGAACTGTTTTCCTGAAACAGAAAGTGACTGACTCAGATCCAAACGGAGGAGCATATTAAAAAGGGGGAAATAGTGGACAAAGAATATAATAATCAGGGGTGAAGAGAACTGGCTGTTGATGAGCAATTTCTCTCAAGCATAAAGAATTGCCCGCATAAAGGATCAGTTAAGAAATGGAAAGAGGTACATATATCAAAAGCGGGGTATCAAAAAACTGTCTGAATTTGTAAGGATGTGGTCGGGAATGCTAAGGCTCGGAATGAGCTGCAGCTTCAGTAGTAGAGAATATATGTAGCTGAGGCTGCGGCTTGCCATAAATGCCAAAGAAACAAAGAAGCACAGGTATGTGCAAAACAAGAGGAAAGTCAGGGAAATGGTTGAGCTGCTGGTTGGAGAAGATGGCCAGATGAAGATGTACAAGAGGGAGAAAGCTGAACTGCTTAATTACTATTTTGCATACATCTTCTCACACACACACAAAAATGACCTGATTGGTCGGAAGCTGCACTATGGGGGACAGAAGAGAAATGTAGGTCAAAATACAAGTCCACAAGTCTTGAGACTGATTCTCCATCACACTGATCTTTTTAATATTCTTGCCTCCAGCATGTATTTATTTGTTAAATTTTATGCCTAACAGTCCTAGACAGCATAGCAGCTTCCAATACTAGCACGCACAAACTACACTGGTTCCCCTTCTCTCATTTTTTTACTATTATTATTATTATTATTATTATTTTGCAAAATAAGTGTTAGTAGCTTAATATTCAGAGAGCGTATTTAAACCCACACAGAGATCTGTTCTACTCCTACTCTTCCTCTATAACTGGGACAGAGAGAGGCTGTTTGAAATCCTTTTAGAAAGACCTGTCAAGAACTTGAAAAGATACCCCAATGTGCAAGTGGAAAAGGCAAATGTCCACGAATGTGAAGAAAGCTAGTTTCTTCCTCTCGATTCAGAACTGTTGCAGAAAATTGGGATCAGCGTATGCAGAAGATGACAGTTTTCCTATAATAAACACCAAAACCATTTGATGCTTAAAATGTTCTCTACCCTTCTGAAGAAAGAAAAAGTCAGATTCTGATGAACACAACTGTTGCCATGAGCCGTAATGAACTCAGGCAGTGAGGTTTTATGCTGGGATGACTCTTCTGGGTAAGAATACAGAAGTGAGCAGTGGTAGACACCAGTACAGAGCTCACATAGCTTCTTTTCAAAAGAATCATTCAGTCAGGTAACTCGGGGAAAGAGTGTACTACAATTCCGGGTCTGAACCAGCAAGACAATTCTTAGCTTCTTGGGCCTATATACTGAAATTAGGCATTAAATGTAGAGCCATGCAGCAATTTGAAAATAATTTGGAGAAAAGTACTTCAGGAGTGCAAATGTAATTTCTGCCTGTAGTCTTTAAAAATGATTGGCTGGTAACAGACAGCATCATATCAGACTATCCAGACTTTTAAACTATACCTTTATTGTATAGAGAAAAAACAGTAAGGATGTGTACAGTGTTCACTGGCCCAACTCAGGTGATATCTAAGCCTTAATTGTGTCACATTCATTTTGTGTGCAGCCATATGCATACTGAACCGTGTCCTACAAGTCAACCCTGGCTCATGGATCATCCTTACACTGTGAAAAGCCTTCGGTTGTCATGGCTTTTGTGCTGGATGATCACGTCTAACCATATACATGCAGTCTCAGAGGGGGTGCTTGTCGGGAGGTAGGAGAGTAGCCTAAGCAAACTCTCTATCCTCAGTCTGAACTTTGATGATAATGTGCTGGAAATAGCTTCTCACAGGACAGGTCTCGCAGAAGGAGAAGGAGTGGGTACGGTTGGAAAACAAAGGAGAAAGTCTTAAAAACACCCAAGATTGAGAATTCTGGGGAGAAGAAGCTGAGCAATGGAGAATCTGGTTGGCAGCTAAAGGCACTATAATGGCTAACATGGATTAAATAGTTCCAAGGGCTGTTGAAGATGGATCGTTGATCTGTTGGTTTCTATCCAGGATAAGGTTTGCTGCTAAACTTAAAATGGACTGAGCAGTTTACACTAATAAGAATTTATGGCATGCTGAGTGGGACTGGAGAAGACTCACCAAAGTGTTCAAAGGCACAATCTGCAGGAGAAGAGTGCTGAAGAGGAAAAGAGCCATTGGACACTCTTCTAGGTGGCCATGGGCCAGAAGATAGATGGAAGAACAGAAGATCAAAGGTTTATCTGTCTGAGGATCACCAGCCAATCCAGGGTCACCTGCCAGCTCTGTGGACTGTGAGGGATGGTAAACTGTAGATTAATTTAGTAAGCCCTTTCCTTAAACCTAGATGGATAAATAGGAGTAGTGATCGTAATCAATGGCTTAGAAGGATGCTTACATGCTAGGATCACATACTATGCTGGGTTCAGATCATGATGTGTTAAGACACCCTTACTCAGAATGCATTTGAGAACAAAAGTTAGTCTACCGGAAACAGAAGGGTAAAGTGCTATATTTGGTTAGAGAAGGGGGGCAAACTGCCCACACAAAAGAATGAAAACTGAAGCTGAAGCTGAAAAAGTAAAAGTGTCTGTCTGCTCTGATAAGGCTTGGTTGATACTCTTGACTGCTCTTTTCTGTCTTTGTAAATTGAATAACAACAAAAACTCTGGAACTTGTGGGACCCTGCCTGTTTCAGTCAAATTCTAGAAGTGGTGTATAAACATCATCATATAAGCTTTCTGAGAAACTACAAGTGTAGTGCAGGGACCTTTCATACAAGTCAGAGGAATGAAAGTACAGTACATGACAGCATGTCCCACTGAGAACACTGACACCTGAAGTATCCTTGGGTGGTTGGCCCCTATATGTCGGTCCACCTGCTAAAGAATATTAAATAAGACATGGGCACTCTGTTTCCAATCACATCCTTCAATTACTTCATTTGCCATCTGGACGCAGTGTTTCCAAACCTTCCCAGAGCTACTCACCATCAGCAGTGTGAAGGAGTTTATGGCTCTTCAAGGTGCCTTTCGATTTGAACTTCTTCCCACACCTGTCACACAGGTGTGTCTTCTCAGTACTATGGCGATTCATGTGAGCTTTGAGGTTGCTTTTGCTGCGAGTAGCATATTCACACAGAGAACATTTGAATGGCTTGATACCTACAGAAAGGGAAACAGTTTTCTGCAGTTGGTCTGTCTGTCTCTATCAGGGTGGGGGAATGTTTCAGATGACTTTCCCCCAAGCTGGTTGAGAATCTTGGGACCACATTTAGAAGATATTTGGGGGTTACCCAAATTAGGGAGAGCTATTTTAGGACTTCATCTCCCTACAAAAAGCAAACGGAATAGTACAGTGGAACTCAGTGCTAGTGTATGCATGTGTGCGTATATACGGAGACTGATGTTTATAAGCCATTTGTAAGGTAAGTGTTCCCACCACTACAAATAGGAGATAAAGTGGGGAGGAAAAATTCTGTTTGGGATTGTGCTAGAAGACAATCATTTCACAATCTGGATCTGGCTCAATTCTCTCCCATTCATACCAACTTTAATGATTCTGGAGTAATGCTTAATGGCTGGGTTGGCACAACATCCTAGAGTAGGCTAAATGGTTTGGTGCATCCTAACATCCCAATGCATAAAGTAACAATCATGGCTTATTTTTCTATAACTTATGTAAACACTGGAACTGGGAAGTTTTATTTTAATTCTGTTTGATGCCTAGAGTCACTTGTTCAGATGGGCAGCCTATAAATTGGATAAATAAATAAATAAACTGTGCCTTGTTAACTTGGGTTTAGGGTTTACATGTTGTCTCAATTCAAGTCATTCTTTTACATTTACCATTCTCTCTTACTCATCTAACTCTTTTTTTCTCTGAGTTTTAATTATAGATTTTAAGTTCCCTGGACAGGAGTAGGTCATCCTGAGGCTTCTAGGGTATCATGCAGCTTTATGGAGGGAGGGAGACAGGAAATAGCACAGCACACTGAATTTTGTTGCCTTTTTTGTGTGGCCAGTAGCTTTTGAAATTTGTGAATATTAAAAATCCTTCCAAAATGGTAATAAGGTAATTTAACATTTTGCATGTAGGTATGTTTCAAGAAAGAATTACTTGCTGGACTAATCCGGATTCATTAACTTAGCAATAAAAGGGATTCAGCATATTGATTACTGAATATCTATGGACTTCAGTTGCGGAGGCAGAAAATCACAAAACATATAGCTTTGAACTAGATGAGGCATGAACAACTGATTTATATACTGTAGTGTTAATTCAGAATAAGATACAGGAAGGGAGTTCTGAAAACTGATGACATTACATACTAAAGCAATAAAAGGGGGCTAGGGGAGAGATTATATTATAGACACTATAAATGAGGAATGTGTTACACAACATCAACAGTGGGAATTAAAGAATAACCCTATGCCACTGGGCTCCCTGCTAGATTTTGCATCAGATGAGATAGCCTTTCAAATGATTTAGAAGTGTTGTTCTAGTTAAATATTCCAATTCCAATACAGCATTCTCTACAAAGGTGGTGTTTGTATTTACCAACGACATGAATAAAAAAGTAAAAGAAATTCACTTGATGATATAGTTATACAGTGGAACTTGATGTGGGGTAAATTGTGCATTCAGTCCTCCTTGCTCCAATTGGTTTTATGGCACTGGAAAGCTTCTGTTTGCCTTAGCTACAGAGTTACGGTATGGGTTCATGGTAGGTTACCACAGGTGATTACTACAGCTCAAGTGATGGCCTGCAAGCCTTAAAGGAAGAACACTGGGTTTTGTGAATAAGTAGAGCACTTCTAGTTTTCACAAGGACACCTGGTCAGCCAGAGCAGGAACAGAAAGCTGCATTAGATAGGCTTTTCTTTGCCTTGATCCAACATGAATTGTACGTGCTTATACCTAAGAAGGAATCAGAAAACTAATTTGATATTTGGCTGGCATCAGCTGTCTACCTCAAATGCTACACTTTCAGCCATTACTTGTAATTTTACTTGCTACTCACTGTATTAAGAAATCAGGTGATTTTGATAAGTATAACCAGCTTCGAGGCTTTAAATCTTAACTTCTAAAATAACTTTTTGTAATTATGCATCATTTTATTGTCTAGTTTTACTTGGTACTGCTTTGGGATTACTTTTAATGAAAAGCAAGCTAAAACTGATTTAAAATAAAATTGCATCGTTGGGGCAAAAGCACGGTGGCCGTAGCTGTCTTTTATCTACTTCCAAAAGAGAAGATAAGACTCTAGATTTCCGAAAATAAGGCCAGAGTGCATCATTTTGGTAACACAAGGCCAATTAGATAGTTGGGTACAAAATGTTTTGAACTGGACCACTGAAACCATCCCATTTCAAGTGTTATGCTCCTCTCACGAATGCAAAGCAGCTGTTTCTCATTTAACGTGGGGCGTTTTGCACTTGAAATGGTTCAAGTTCAAAACAATTGGCACATCACACGCACCCACAAATAAAAACAGCTGGGGAGACCTAATTAAAACTGATGCGGTGACAGAGAAAAATAACCCTTTTCTCTAGCTTCCATCTTCCCTCGGGGCAAAATGGTGGTTGATCACCTCCCTCCCAAAATTGATAGCCCCCTGCCCTGTCCAATGGCTTTTTCTAATTGTGTGGTTATGTAGCTTTTTCTGTTGCGTTGATATGATTTTGTTTATCATTTACGTTTTGGTGCTGAAGAAGGCCTTTTAATAAAAGGGCTGAAATATTAACAGCTCATTATATGCATTTGTATCAGAACATGCCATTTTCGCCTCCTGAGTTTTTGACGTCTTTTTTCTTCTCGCCAGCAAATTACTGCAATTACGGAAAGACAGGTTCTTGCTACACCCCATTTACCTTCGTGAGCCCAAATGTGACGCTGGAGATCCGATCCATTCTTCATGAAATAAAAATTGCAGTAAGGACATTTCACAGCTCGTTTTCCTATAAGTCCTTTTAGCTGAACTCTCCTGCCAACAATCTTGGAAATTGTGTGCATAGAAACCTCTAAGATTGGAGGGGGAGGGGGAGGAAGGCAGAAGCAGAAAAGAAAAGAAAAAAAATGAAACTTTGGCCTTCAGGGAAGACATTTCAAAAACCAATAAAATATAGATTGTTTTGACTGCTGGTTGTTAAATTTTTTAAGGAGTCTTCCTTTCGTATGTTTTCTTTCCCCCAGGTAAGATTTGCAGTTGAAAGAAATAGCCTCATTAATGTATGGCTTTTCCAGCACTGGTCATTCCATTTGTGTATTGTACTACTTTTACCAGGATTTACTCTTTTAGCAACAAATTAGAGACTGGTTGGGCTGTTGGTGCAGAAATTGTTTTTCATCTCTGTGTGTTTTCTCACAGGAAGCCTTCTCAAACAGTGAATACCTAAATAGGGCAGCTTCGCTAACCAAATATTTATGAGCTTTAATACTCTCTGAGAGCTGCTAACATTTGTTTAAGGCTTCACCTAGGATTTCCAGAAGAGCTGGGAATTCCAAATAGACAGCTTGTTAACAGCTGCAAAAGGCCCCAGGCCCCAGATGTGATGGTATAATTGCTAGAAATAATAGAAGGATACTTTGTTCAGACTCAACCAGATATCATAACCAACCGTAAGCACGCATCTTTTCAAGGATGCCTATACCGACCATCTTCAATCTAAGGGATATCATTCAAAGCATGCAAAGTCCCACAAGGACTTGAACTGAAGAACTGCAGGGACTGAGAGACGGTTGTACATGCCCAGGATTCGGAGATTAACAGGCATAAAAGGGAACAAGACAACCATGTCAGCTCCTGCTGTGGCAAGGGGTACAAAGCCTCCAAATTCACTAGCTTTTTCTTGATTGTTGTTAGCAGTGCTAATGCTGAAGCAGAGACAGGGGAGTAAAGGCTGAGTTCCCAGGGAAAAACACCAACGATCAACAACTGAGGTATGCCTCCAAGATGCTGATGCTGGTGTTAATAGCTATGAATTGTTGAGGGTGATGGGCCAACCCTGGGAGCAGAATTTTACAGCTTAGGAGAAACATGATTACACTGGGGGGACTGATAAGAAAGTAGCATTCCTGCAACGCAATGCTGAGTTAGCCATGGGTTGCAGAAGCAGAGGGCCAGGCTCTCTGAAAGTAGGACATTGGGCCCTTAAACTTTAGAAGTCCTTGCCCAGGTCCTCCTTCCACTGTACTATAGCCCTTTCCACAGATATGTCTTTGTATGCCCTGCAGATCTGGCTGTAGCTGCTTGAAACACAAATAATTCAAGGATGACTTGCCTGTAAGATTTGTTTAACATCCTAAGCTCTGAGCCACTATTTCAACCGGACTGATGAGCGGATCCTATTGACTTTTTACCTTGTGTCTGATTCAACATTGACCAACTCAAAGACTCCCTGCTCTCCCTTGGCTGGACATTCCCCATTGAGAAAGATGAGAAGATATGCCCGTTCACAAGAAAGTTCTTTAAAACAGCTTGAGAAGTGAGCAAGGAAAGGTTGTGTGTTCATGCAGCCCCTCTCCCTCTGCAGACAGAAGTTGACAGATCATGATTTCCTTCCCCCTCTGCTGATACCTTCACTGTCCATCCAATTGTCTGCTGGAAACCAGAAGTAATCTGAGCAACCCGGCAAGTAGGAGAGGGAAGGGCCACAAAAGCACTTACAAGCCATTGTTATCTACTCATATGGAAATGTTCTACATCTTCAATCCTAGAAGAAAGATTTGCCTCCTTGATTTCAGCATGGCAAATTGCTACTAATAGCATAGGTACTAGGACAGTAAACAATTTAATCAACCAAGTGATTTTTAAAAAATTATCTTTTCCATGATGATAATGGCAGTAATAATAACAATGAAACTCTAACAATAATAAGGCACAGTATAATTGCAGTGTGTTATTTAGCCGGGGCCTTGCCTCCAATATGACAATACATTCAAAACCATTAGCGTGGCTTTTCTTACCTGGATGGTTTGTCTTTATATGAGCTTTTATAAGTCGGTCTTCAGAAAATGATTTCTCGCACACAGGGCAGGAATAATTCTTTTTGTCCTTTAAAGGAAAGAAAAGGGAGAGAAAGATTATGTTATCAGTTCATTGAACTGATTGCTAAACTCATTACATAGTGAATAATATATGGCTCCCAACAAGGTGATAATTGGGCAGGCTCAGATGAGGATTTTAGCTGGTGTACAAAAAGACAGAACAGTTATCATTTTCATGATGAGCCACATGGAAGGAAAGACTTGTAAGCACACGGATGATTTCAGAATAATTCACAGCTTGGGCTCAGAGCAGTAGAAGAGGGAGGATTGTGAAATATGGAGGTGTCCAGCAAGATTCAACTTCCAAGTCTTGCAGACAGGACTGGGGCAACCAGCTTGAAGCTGTGATTGATTGATGGACCAACAGATAGATGGATTGGGCATGATGCCAACTGCTCTGCTCTGGTCTTCCGGTCCACTGGCAACACATTACCATCTGAAAGCTAGCTCACAGGGTCATGAAGCAATTCGTACATAGGCAAGTTTTCTGTGACAAACTGATTACATTAAGGTCATGTAATGCCTTGCTTGTGGGAGTTGCATGACCAGGGTGTTTTGGTAGGCAATTCAAGGTGCTGGATGTCAACTATAAAACCCTGCAAGACTTGAGGCCTGAGTATCTTCAGGACTGCCTGCTCCAGGAAGAATCTGCCTGCTTGATATGACTGAGTAGAATGGGCATGCTGCCAGTCTTGGGGTGGTGGCGGGGGGGGAGCAGAGATTTTTTTTTTCCTGGCTGAGGATTTTTGTCACCAGTGGGCACAATCACTATAGAAGGCAACAGCACACAGTAGTACAACAATTGCTTACTGAATCAAGGCTTGAATGCTTTTGTCCCTTCAATACATTTCTCAATTCCAACACATCTAATTAAGAGATGCACATTGTTGATCAATACAGCTTTCCCAGTTAATGTAAGACAGATTATCTAAATTACTAATCAGGTACTTGCCAAAAGTTGTCTTGTAGCTCCTTGATTCTAGACAGATTTCCCAATGTGGAAAAGACACAAAGCAAAATAGCAGGCAAAAAGCAGCAAATAAAATAGCTAGCTATAGAATACAGAGGCTCTTACACTCTACAGGCACACTCTTACACACTTCACATACTTCCCCCAGTTGGTTTTCATCAATCTTGTCACGGCATATTGTTACAAGTGAAAAGATAATTTGGAGAGGGGTCTAGCTGTTCTTGGGCAGTTCTTGATCATGGAAGTTCATGTCCTGACTCTTGGTATTTTTCTCCATCAGTCATACTTTGATCTTCTCCTGGTCTTTGGCACATCATTGTTTTAGTCCAACCTAGCATTTCCATGCATCTGTGTGTGTTCAGATGGACTGTATGTACTTCATTAGACTTGAATATTCATTGTAGGCTTCATTAACCTCATTCTCCATTGTGATCACTAGCAAAGGTCATTTGTTGAAGCCTGCAAAGAGGTTACATTCCATTTAAATGTGGATTCTCTCTGGTTCAGCTAGCCCTTGGTTTCTATAGAGCCAAGGTGCCCTTCCAACAACTCCCCACTTGCCAGGAGATTAAAAAGGCTGGGCCTGGAAAGTAGCTTTTTCTATCAAGACTCCCCGTCTTTGGAACAGCTGGTCTTCTGAGATGAGGACAGCACCTTCCTTGGAAATATTTAGGAAACCTGTTAAAATGCTGCTTTTCTGTAAAGCCCTTCAGGACGGAAGAGGGGGTTAGGTGAATAATGCTTTTCTTGGTAACTGAAAAGACTGTTATGACTATTATGGATAGTTTGCATTGATCTGATGGAATATATATTCCTTGTTACATTATTTATTCTACTTGCACTGTAATTATTGAGTGCATTGCATGCCTAGAGTTCGAAAACTGAGGCGGCCCATGTATGCCAGTAAGTCAGTCAGTCAATCAGTAAGTAATTAAGTAAGTAAACAAACTCCCGTATTTCTGAACAAGCATGACCAAGCTGGAAATTCTGGGAGTTCAGTATCATCTGGTGAGCGCCAATTTGGAGACCAACGCTGTACAGACATATTACGAACAAGCCCTCACAAAGGACAGATGCAGCCTGGCAGATCTCGTTGAATTTAACAGATCATGGGATTCAAAATTAAAACTGGCTTTAGAAATGGTGGGTCTTAAGAGGACTGGCACTACTTGTGCTACACTGAAATTACTTTCTTCTGGCAAATGTTATGCATAAATGGTATCTGGGACCATTTCATCCCACTTAGAGAATAAGGAGAAGCTAAGTGGGAATGGTTTCCAAGCCCCTAAACTATTATTTCTATTTATGTTTGAATATCTGCTCAACGGGAATTGAATGGTTCAGAAACCAGAAAATAAATATGCAGAACCTCAAGTACATTATCATTCCAAAGCTAATAATTTCAAAGCCAACTTGATGAGTTGGAGGCTCCAACTCAATTCTGAACATATGCAGCCAGCTCCATAAAGGCTCCTGGGAACTTTGACAGAGTGGAAGAGACATCCTGCTGCACTTCTACAAATGCCAAGATTTGCTTTCTGAAAAAGCAAAATGCCACATGAGGCTCAGAGATAAAAATTAGACCGTCTTGCAAAGAAAGAGTAGCATGCAGAGGAAAGTTCTTGTCACAGAGAGAGATCAGGAAATTCTTATCTGCTATATGTGGAATCTTCACTATGCCAAGCTAGTACAAGTATGAATGTATTTAAAGTACAATATGAATGTATTTAAATGTTATATCTTGATGAGATATGTGTTTATTAGAAAAAGATTTCAGTGCTAAGCTTTAAGAAGAGCAAATCTCAATGATAACCAATCATTTTCAAAGTATCTCTGGATCTGCAATTCTTTTGTCAAGAAGAGATTAGAATTTGGAACCTGGCTCTCAGCACCTCCAAATATTTGGCTCAAATAGAAAAGAATATATTCACTATAAAAAAACGCTTATAAGGAATAACATAAAATGAACACATTTTCTAGTACAAACAGCTCTTCTAAAACTCCTTTCTTTAGAGTTTAGCATGTTCTACCAACCCAGCCTGTCTGGACACTTTCTGGCACAAATCCTCCTGGGATGTCATACATTCTGGAAAGTGGTTCGACTATAATTGCAACAGCCTAGGAATAAATGAATTATCTGAACCATTTCAGTCAGGTTTCAGGCCTGGGTTTAGTGCAAAAGCAGCACTGATCACATTGATGGGGTAATGTGACCCACCTAGTCCTGTTTGATCTATTAGTGGCTTTTGACATCATCAATTGGGTATCTTTTTGAGTTGTCTCTGAGGACTGGACTACAGCAATGCACTCTTCAAGGAGCTCTTTTTGAAGAGCATTTGGAAGCTACAGAACTAGAATGCAGTGGCTCAAGATGCTGTGGTGCACCTTGTAGCATAGGGAATGGCCTTGAAGGACAGGAGGAAGAACTGCTACCACAGCAATGGCCAGACAAGAGGGGATTGAGCCAGGGCCAAGAAACGAGCTCTCAGAAGAGACAAATAAATCTATTTGCAATTGTTGCCATCATCATCATCACTTCATCAAGCCATAGGAGCCACTTCATTGTAACTATCCCTCCTGAGGACGGAGTGCTTTTAATCTTCTGAGAATATCTCCTAGCTTTATGTTATTGCAACATATGATTTTGTTCTTAAATCTGATTTGTACTGTTTTACTTCCAACTATATAGAGAGGAGTTGTATGTTGCTCAGAGTCAGCTGACTGGTCTAGAAGAACTGTAAGTGAATAAATAAACCAACTCTGGTTTCTTCTGTTATATATCCAACGTCCTCTCCTTCACTTTGATCGCCACATGTATTTCTCTACTGGGTTGAAATATTCTGTTTGTTCCTAAGGAGCCTAAAAGGAAAAAAAGGCCAGACATGCCAACCACCTGAAGCAACTTCATTTACTGGGTTTGTCTGAACAAGGTTTTGGTGCCTTTCTGCCAATGCTGACATGCTGTCCTGTTCTGCAAAATGTGTTGCTCCAGCTTTGAAACAAAGCTTAAAGTGGTAACTAGACTCACTTTGGACTTCGTATTTCCCTCTTTGCATTTTGAAAATGCAGAACAGAAAATTAATAAAGGCCACTCTAATGAGAGATGTAGCAGATGAACGTTTTGCAGCTTTCTGCGACAATTTTGCCTCCATCTGTTTAAACGCAGGCAACCCTAACAATGACCTTTGAAGCTCAGAGTGTCATTTACAAATGTCAACCATATTAAAAACAAAATCTAGTAATGCCTTATGTGAAAAGTTTCACTTGACAAAGTAAGCTCTGCAGCAGATTTGCACCCTGTCGTTTCTTGTATGAGATTTCAAAACCAAGAAATTGACTTAATGGGGAAACTCTCATACTGAAGGAAATAGAGTCCAGTACATACAAGTGCTCTAGTGTTGCAGGTTGAGAGACTAGCAATATGAAGCATACCAAATGAACAGGTCGCTGTTTCTCTTTGGTTTACTAGCGTTTCATCCCACTATTTATTACTTCTTTATATGTAAAATTTGCTACTGCCTGAAACCAAAAGGACTCTAGGTGGCTTGCACAGCTTAGCTTACATATAAAATCCGATGCACATTGGTATAATAATTAATTTAATAATACAAATGAGTTTTGATTTAAATTAATCCTAAAAGTTAAACATGTCTTGAATATGGTGCCATTGCTTATAATTCATCCCTGTAAACCAGCATTTCTCAACCTTGGCAGCTTTCAGATGGCTGGACTTCAACTCCCAGAATTCCCCAGATAGCAACGCTGTCTGGAGAATTGTGGGAGTTGAAGTCCAGCCATCTGAAAGCTGCCAAGGTTGAGAAACTCTGCTGTAAACCTTCTGGTACAGCCATGCTTTGACTTGTTTTCAGAAACTCATGAGGGTGGGGGCCATCCTTGCCTCAGGGACAAGCTATTCCAAAGGTGTCTGTGTGTGTTTGTGTGTGCGCATGCTACACAAAACTCCACTTCTGGGCCACCACTTCCCACTGTATCTCCTGGTAGGTGTTTCCCAGTTGTTCAGGATAGTTCAGTCCAGA